TAAACCCTATTGAGCATCTCAAGGTCTCTAACATCCACCAGCTCTGTGATCTCGTCATGGAGGAGTGGAAGAGGAGTCCAGTGGCAACCTGTGAAGCTCTGGTGAACTCCATGCCCAAGAGGGTTAAGGCAGTGCTGGAAAATAATGGTGGCCACACAAAATATTGACACTTTGGGCCCAATTTGGACATTTTCACTTAGGGGTGTCCTCACTTTTGTGGCCAGCGGTTTAGACATTAATGGCTGTGTGTTGAGTTATTTTGAGGGGAAAGCAAATTTACACTGTTATACAAGCTGTACACTCACTACTTTACATTGTAGCAAAGTGTCATTTCTTCAGTGTTCTCACATGAAAAGATATAATATAATATTTTGGGGTGTACTCACTTCTGTGAGATACTGTGCATATAGATATATATATATATATATTGCAGTTTCTGTCTTAATTGTTCTCCAATTTTTTATGTATCAGTATAGCCATAAATGGACCATGCACATTGCAGTATATTGAAAAATATAAGCACGTTTTCTATGTATGGAAATTTATTATTTAATATATTACATTTTATTTTCCAGTATATTCCAATATTTTAGTTTTGTAAGGGATTACTAAACCCATCTGCTGCTATATTATTAAGCAATATATTGTAATAACTAAACACGGGATTGCACCGAACATATTGACACATAGCTTTTAAGATAACCTCATTGGCCGTTGGTTGAGATGTTTTTGTGGGTTGTACGGAAAAAAGTGCTGATGACGTGTCCCACCCAGTTATAAATTAGTATCATTGAGGTACTATTATAGTTTTTATTAATATTTTAATATTTCGTTTTTTTATTAGTATGTTTTCCGTTTTCATTTTTTAATTTTAATTAAAGTTTTTAAAAATCATGAATCTGAGGGTGCAAAAAAAAAAATCTAAATATTGAGAAATTTGCCTTTAAAATTGCCCAAATGAAGTTCTTAGCAATGCATATTACTAATCAAAAATTATGTTTTGATATATTTATGGTAGGAAATCTATAAAATATCTTCATGGAACATGATCTTTACTTAATATCCTAAAGATTTTTGGCATAAAATAAAAATGTATAATTTTGACCCATACAATGTATTTTTGGCTATAGCTACAAATATACCTGTGCTACTTAAGACTGGTTTTGTGCTCCAGGGTCACATATGTCTACGTAGGTTTTATTCATTATTATTTACTTTTAGTTTTAGTTATATTAGTACATCAAGTCAAACTAAATTAAAATTAGAAATGCTGCTTTGCCAACTAAAGCTGTTTTTTTTTAAGTTTAGGTTTTTTTTATTTTATTTTATTTCAGGTCAGTTTTTTTTTTTAAGTTTAGGTTTTTTTATTTTATTTCAGTTCATTTTTTTGTTGTTTTTTTATGATTCAGTTCAGTTCAGTTTTTTTGTTGTTGATT